AAACACATACACACCCACAACACACACCCACACACATCCAACACACACACACTGAATGTATACACGAACATACACCAACAAATCCTTATACATGCTAATAGACATGTGCTGACACTGACACAAACACACACACACACACACACACGCACACACACACACACACACACACACACACACACACACACACAGACCCACCTTTATACCACTTGACATCTGCTATGGGGTTCCCTCCTATAGAGATACACGTCATTCTCTCCAGGTCCCCGGCTCGTATAGAGGAGCCCTGCACGTAGCCGTTGATGTGAGGGGCGTTGGGAGGGTCTGTAACACCACAACAAAACTTACTCAAATACTGCTCATCACTCTTTGTTTAACAGCGCTATCCATTGCTTGGTCAAAGAAGTGCCATGACAGGGTTTTAGTTTTAGTAATAGTTTTACGGCACTTGCAACACAATAAGGTCACGTAAGTGCTGAAGATTAGATTTGTTACAAGAGAGTAACAAACATAAAAAAGAAGGAGGAGAGATAAAGACGATAGTTGATTGATAAGAAAGAAGGAGCAAACTACACCAGAGCACCCGCCAACCACCCACTGACAGGATTTGGTTTAAAAGTGTCTTTTGTGATTGACAGAAATTTATAGAGACACAAACTTCCACAAAGATCTGTAAATTATATACCACAAAATATTACTTCAGGACCATAAAGAAGGAATGTAATCATATCTCTCTCAGTCTATTATTCATGTAAAAATCACCAGCAAGAAAAAGACACAATTATTTATAAAGGTCTGTAGAAGAATACAAAGATTAGTTCAGAAAAAATTTGAAAAGAAAGATTTTATACCTTTCTCTAAACTTTGTATTGAAACAAAGCAAAAGATTAGACCAGTCAATATATAATTTCAAATTCAGGAACACTTACTTCATACATCTCTGTATTGAAACAAAGCAAAAGATTAGACCAGTCAATATATAATTTCAAATTCAGGAACACTTACTTCATACATCTCTCTATTGAAATTAAAGAGGTAAAAAGAAAGAAACAAAACAAAATGAGAAAAAAAACCCTTGTGTAAAAGATACATACACAAAACTGTGAGAGTGACCATGTCTGCGACGGTCTGTCCGAACTCAGAGTTGCTCGCCCGGCACGTGACCTTGGAGTTGTGGTCCTGGTGCCTCACGGTGACCCTGACCCTCGACGTGGTGATGTATCCTCCGTCAGGAGACTCGCTGTACGTCTCTGTGGGTGTGGGGAAAGTGGGGGTAAGAGAGACACAAGGCATATTAGGCGTCAGCACCTCTATCTGTCAACACACACCCTCTTCCTTACAAATAATTATCACCAGTTTAACTATAGCTTACAGAGACTTTAAAGAGATAAGATAAGATAAGATAACACAAGATAAGATGAGATAAGATAAGATAAAGTTTATTTATCCACAAGGGAAATTTTGGGTGGATCTATTAGAACATCAACATACAAAGATCCAGCATCAACACAGAAATCCTATTATTACATTCAAGCACAATGACACACATGCAACAATGCATAGCTCACTCACACTCACACTCACACAAACACACAAACACACACACTCTCTCTCTCTCTCTCTCTCTCTCTCTCTCTCTCTCTCTCTCTCTCTCTCTCTCTCTCTCTCTCTCTCTCTCTTCCTCCCTCTCCCTCTCTCTCCCTCTCTCTCTCTCTCTCACATACATACACATATACACATTCTTTCTCTCTCACTCACACACACACACACACACACACACACACACACACACACACACACACACACACACACACACACACACACACACACACTCACACACACACACACACACACACACACACACACACACACACACACACACACACACACACACACACTCACCCACACAAAAACATTAATACACACACACCTGTAACGTCACTCCTGGGTAACTGGTTCTCCTTCGACACCCACATGATGGTGGCTCGAGGGTTGGAGTTGGACGACACACAGGTCAAGGTCACCCTCCGACCCGCCTTGACTGCCGACTGGGCACCAGACATGGTTACACTGGTCGGAGGGACTGAGGACAGAACAAGGCCAGGACATTTACTAGACAGTTTTGCTAGAGTTCATAAGGAGCACAACAACATGATAATAGCCATTTATATCATCAAACATCACTGACAAATAGTCTGTGAGGTCAGGGGGAATTATAATTATGATTTCACCATCTTATGTTGGAAAATGCTTTAAAACAGGCAAACCAAGCAAGTAAACACCTTAAATCTATATCTTTTCAGAAAGTAGAACGTAAATAGGAAATTGAACTCACTAAGAAAGAGTTGAAATGTATGGTTATAATGGTTATATTTAAAAAAACAGGATAAATCTACAAAATTAGGGGCTCAAATCACTGCCAATTAAATCTACCAAAACACCGCAGAATGAAACTTATGGCCAATTAGGCCATTGGCACTAGGGGGGTTAACAATTTGCCCCCACGGGACACCGATCGGTGTCGGTGTGATATAGAGTATACCGCACCTGTATCCAGGTCCGTGGGGATAAGTGCTGCACACTCTGCGCACTGCGTGGGTGGAAAGTGTTAATATTTTATTCACAAAGTGCTGGAACAAAGAAAGACAGACAGGAGAACTACGCAGGGGCCTGCCTGCGACTGTTGTCCTCCAACCACTGACACAGAGGAATAAATAGTCCCCTGTGGGCCAGGAGTCAGTGAGATCAATACTGTCAAGCATAGTATGTCTGTGACAAGGCATTTACTACATGGAACAATTGTTGCAGATCACATAGTTACTCACAGTGAACGGTCAAGCGGTACTCCGAGGTCAGCGGCTCTGTGGCCACTAGGTTGGTCACCTGACATCGGTAGACGGCGTTGTTGTCGCTAGGGCCGACCTTGAAGGTGTACTCGTTGATGGCGCGGTTGCTGCCCGAGGTGAAGCTCCAGTCTACCGGCTGGTCGTTACGGTACCAGGTGACCGTGCCCAGCGGGTTGCCTCCCTTCGACACACAGGTCAGCACCAGGGAGTCGTTGATCTTGACCACTCGGCCACCGTAGCCGGAGATCTCAGGGGGACCCGGCGGGACTGGAACATACAAGCAACATTTTAGTCCAGTTCTAGAATGAATTTTAAGGCACTTGTAACACAAATACGTCATATAAAGGTCAAAGATTAGAAACCATTCTTTGAGTAAATGGAAGCACATTGCCATAACAATAGTCATGTGGCATCCAGAAAGAAAGTTTGTTTGCGGTTTGAGAAAAGAAAAGCACATCAACACCGTACCATAGTCAAGCACGCACATAGGAAAATTGGTAGGAGATGGACATTTTTTCGTAAGGTATGAAATTTGGTAGGTATGTATGTATTCTAAATATAAAAAATTGAGCATGTAAAAAAAAACTGCAGGCCCTGAACATCTCTTCACTAAGTGCCCGTTTGCTATGTACGTATTCACTATGTGCATGTCTGCTCTGTACATGCTAAATTGTAGTCATCTAAAGCCTGCAAACAGAATCTTGGTTGGTTTAGTAGAGGTTTTACGGCGCTCGCAACTGCATAAGGTCATATGAGTGCCAGAAAATTAGAGGTGTTACAAGAGAGTAACAAACATAAAAAAAGAAGGAGAGGAGATAAGGACGATAGATGTTTGATAGGAAAGAAGAAGCAAACCACACCAGAGCACCCGCCAACCACCCACAAAAAGAATCTGTTTCTGAGTTTTGTTCCAAGTAAAGAGAAGAACAATGACACAATAATGGTCTTCTCGTGCAGAGGACAAGTAAGGAAGGCAGAAACAACAGAGGGAAGACAAACAGTCAGACCAATCAGTGGAGTCCTTGAACTACTCATGGAAAGAAAGGACGTTGACACCGTTATAGTCAACAAGCACTCACAGAGTGAAAGACAGGCAGACAAAAACAACGGAATGAAAGACAAAGACCCATTTTAGTTTTGGTAAGAGATTTACTGTACTTGCAAAACAATAAGGTCATAGAAGTGCCGAAGCTTAGAGGTGTTACAAGAGAGTAACAAACACACAAAAGGAGGAGGTTAGATCAGGACGATCGATGTTCGATAGGAAAGAAGGAGCAAACCACACCAGAGCACCATCCAACATCCCACTACAACCAACTTTACAATACACGAGACAACAGTAACAAGTGCAGTACTCACAGAGTATACTGAGTGAGACAACAGTGACAAGTGCAGTACTCACAGAGTATACTAGGAAGACAACAGTGACAAGTGTAGTACTCACAGAGTATACTGAGGGAGACAACAGTGACAAGTGTAGTACTCACAGAGTATACTGAGTGAGACAACAGTGACAAGTGCAGTACTCACAGAGTACACTGAGTGAGAGAACAGTGACAAGTGCAGTACTCACAGAGTATACTGAGGAAGACAACAGTGACAAGTGCAGTACTCACAGAGTATACTAGGAAGACAACAGTAACAAGTGTAGTACTCACAGAGTATACTGAGGGACACGCTGGCAGTGAGGGCAGGCCCAAACACAGCGCTGTTGCTGGCCTCACAACGGTACACCGCCCCATTCTCCTCGTGGTGGTTGGACAGGGACACGGTCAGGGTGCTGCGGGCCGTCTCGCGCTTGTCGCCGGGCAACGACTCCACGCCGTAGCGAATGTTCTCTGTCACCTGACAGCGAGAGAAGGAAAGAGTTCACCTCAGTAACATCTCACTCAAGACAGTCACTTTTTAAGTCTCTTATGTTGGGACTGGCAGCATGACAGCTATGTGGTTGTCTCAATCTCTTTAAATGCTCAGAGCCGCACAATGCATCAAGCAGTTTTTTTATTGCTAGTATGAATGTCTGCTTATGTGTAAGTGTTATTATTAAGAGTATATGTTTTCCTGTTTATTCACTAGTATTTTGTGTCAAGATGTATTGTAAAGCACCCCTAGAGCAAAGTTGAATGGGAATGGGCACTATAGAAATGATCGTTAGTATTATTACCACAACTATTACTGTACTTATTGTTATCCTCATCGTCATTGTTATTATTATTATTATCATTATTATTACTATTTAAAAATTATTATTATTATTATCAAGATTTCATTTTTGCTGTTATAATTATTTTAAAAGCAGAACATTTGGTCCCACGACTTCCAACTTCCGATAAAAACTCCATCCAGCTCCAACTGGCCAGACCGCGCACCCACCTTGATCCCGTTACGGTACCAGTCAATGGAGGCAGCGGGTCGGCCCAGCCTGGCCTCACAGGTCAGCTCCAGGGTCTCCTGTGTGTGTGGCACCTCCACCGTGGAGCCGTTGTTGTAGTCCAGGATCTTGGGCGGCTCGCACGGCACTGACCACACAAACAGAAACACAGTTTGGTTTTTTTTTTAGTAAGAGTTTTACGGCACTTGCAACACAATAAGGTCATATAAGTGCCGAAGATTAGAGGTGTTACAAGAGAGTAAAAAGTAAAGTTGCTCCCGCATCCGATTCGGAAATTGGGGATTGCCTTGTTAGTGAGAAAACTTCCTGGGCCTTCGACATTATATTGTGGCAGGGTGGCCAGTTCCTTTCCACGCCGCCTTTGCTTCCCCAACTGAGGGAGTAACAAGCATAAAAGAGAGGGAGGAGAGATCAGGACGATAGAAGTTTGATAGGAAAGAAGGAGCAAACCACACCAGAACACCCGCCTACCACCCACAGAAACACGGATTATGACGACTATAAAAATACTAATTATAATGATAATACTACTAATACTACTTCTAATTGGAATGATGATTGGAATGACAATATTAATGATATTTAATCATAGTAAAAAATTATATTAAAAAGTAATAACAATGATAAAATTGTTCATAATAATAACAAAAACAAATAGTAG